AAAAAAAAAAAAAAAATTGGTATCATATACGTGATCACTCTTATTTTCTATACTTTTATCCGTCATCGAAGGTATTTCAAAAAATGTTCATGTTTACATCTTTTACTTCTTGGAATTATTCAGAGACTGTGAGCTGATGTTTGCAAACTGAGATATAAAAAATGGCTTGATTTTAATAATTGTGTCATCGTTAGCTGTGATTTTTCAAATAGTACATAGAATTTCAAACTGATATTCTTAATGCCATTTTTCCAGAGTGCCTATTGATTCAAACGGGGATAATACTGAATCTGGCTTTTGAAGGAAAATAATTTTTTTCTCAATAAATTTAGAGTCAGTTTGATGGCGTTGAAGCATCGCTGGAAGGGATCCATGAAGTCCTTTGGGAGTCATCTTGATCCACAGAAGGAAGAACAATTGAAAGGTGTAAAAAAGGGTAAATATTTCATTCTAAAAAAAAAAATTCTAAATCCAATAATTCAGATATAGATATAAACCGAACTGAGTTGTGAACAAGGACATTTCCACAATTTATCGTTGTGTTTTATAGTGCGTTGTTGCTATAAGTAACACAATCTAGTATCGTAAGAATAAACAAGAGTCTATTACAATATTTTACACATGCAATTCTTTTCCCTTTCTAAAAGCATAAACCTTTATACATGAGGTGGTTCAACATATAAGAGCAAGCAAATGACCTGCTTTCAAGTTCCGTCACCATTGATAAAGAAAATTTTGCATGCGATCTTTGATAAAAAGTGAAACTAAATTTAAAAAATAAATGCGTCTATTTTCTAAAATTTAAAGCTTTTTGATGAGTTGTTTCAACATTCTTCTTGGTGAGTTATATTCAGTGCATCTTTGGTACGTAGGAAAGTGTTACATAAATCATTAAGACTGAATATTTGAAATTCTAGTACACGTGGCAACTAACCGAACAATGTGGTGCAAAATTATTCATGTACTTGAACTCAAATAGACACTTTGAAACAAGTTGCATCAGCAACAAACTAAGCTTTATTCTCAATAAATTTAGAGTCGAGTAAATGAATCATTTTTTTTCATTTCATTCGACATTATCACTAAATCTGTTTAAATATTTATGTTATTAGCTTTATATCGTGGATTTAGATGTATTGTGTGGTGTTCTAAGTAATAAAAACTCAGAAGTTTTTACTCTTTGCAGAGATTGAAAATAAAGTAGGAAGGATTCTTAAGCTCATTAAAAGTGTTAATCAAGGGAATAAAGAGAATAAGATGAAGAAAAAGTCAGAACTTTTCCAACGCATTGAAGATTTCCACAGAAAGTACCTATCCCTGTACTCTCTTTATGAAGACTTAAGAGGAGAAGTGAGAAAAAAGGTAAACAGCAGTGATGATGACAGTTCTTCTACTTCCACCTCAGATTCCGAGTCTGACGATTCTCCAAATGATTCGACTCGTAATGATATTACAAGTGAAGATTTAGAAGAGGTTGTTTTGAAGGATAAGCTAGCTTCAACAGTCGAAACTATAGACTTGGATTCACAGTCATCTTTCGAAATGTCGAGAGATGAATCCCGTGATAATCTTAAGGACCTCGAGGTTCAAGATGAGCATACAGAATGTGTAAAACGAAGAGCGATGGATGATTCTATCTTGTTAAAGGAGAAATTGTTTGAAAGAGAGGAATATCTGGTTGATGAGGGTGGAAAATTTGTTCAGAGGAAGGACGACTTAGAGGGTCAGGCCTCGGGCTTGAATCCTGAGATTGAAGCCCTTTTCGCGGAGAAAAGAGAAGTGGAAGAACGGATTAACTGCACATTGAATGAAGCTAAAGAACTGAAAACAAAGAATTCAGAACTGGTAACTCAGATTTTGGAACTTGAAGAGAAATGTAGACAAAAAGATGAACATTTTTCCATTCTTACGAAAACTTTTGAGGAAAATGAGCGACACTATAAATCTAGAATTGAAGGCCTCACAGAACAAGCGAATTCTTTTAAGCTCGAAATGAATATTTTGCACACTCAGAAAGGTGAATTGGAACAACAGGTCCAAGAAGGATCTTCTCGAGTTGAGGACTTGATGAAGCAAGTTAATTTTCTGCAGCAGGATCTGGAGACTACGAGAAACCAGAAAGTAGAATTGGAGTTAGAACTCAAAAAGAAATTGAAAGAAGCATCAAAGTACCTTAATCAGATCGAAATTTTGAACGAAAAATTGACAAAACTGCAGAGTATAATTGAGGAGAAAGAATGCCTAAAACTGCAGCTACGAGATTTAGAACTTGATGTTCAGTCTTTAAACACAAAGAAAAATGACTTGGAAGAGAAGATAGTACCAATAAAAGAGGAGGCTTATCAGTTGAGAGTCGAAAAAGAGGAACTACAGAAAACATTCTCTGGATTGCAAAGAGATCTTTTGAAGAAGGAAAATGAACTTAACAAGCTCGAGAACGATTTGGACGCATTACAAAGTGAGAAAAACAGATTAGAGCTCGATCTTGAGGTGGAGAAACAAAATTCTGCGATTTGTATATCAAATATGGAAAAGAAAAACAATCAATTAACGGACAAGTTACACGAAATTAGGGAAGAACACAAACAACAGTCGAAATCAAGCTTCCAAATGGCAGAAAGAAAGATAGAAGAAATGGCAGAAGAATTCCGAAAACAGTTCGAAGACAATCTCCGTATCATGAGCAGGAGAATCCGAGTTGCAGAACAGTTACACGCAGAGAACAAGGATTGTTACTTGAAGACAAAGGAAATTTACGAGCAAGAAAACAAAGAACTTGAAGAAAGATATGGAAAAGCTGAGGTCGGATTCAAGAATATGAAGGAATTATCATTAACAGCAAAGGATATGCTGAATTCATTAGACACAGTGGGATTAAAGTTTGAGGAATGCACTGCTAATTTCTTGAATAGAATCTCAAAAGTTTCTTGTGAATTGAAATTTACAAAGGATTGGGTGAGGAGGAAGAACAAGGCAGCAATGCATTTGAAAGATGATTTAAATTGTTTACTTAGTCAAATGGATGAAAAAGAAGCAGAGATATTAGTATTCAGAGAGAGAGTTTGGAAATCAGAAAATAAAGTTAGAGAATTGGAGAAAATGAACAAACATCATGAAGATGGGATGTTAGTAATGCAGGAGGAGAAGAGGGAGGCAATCAGGCAGCTTTGTGTATGGATAGACTATCACCGGAGCCGATCCGATTATTACAAGAAAATACTAACGGAGGTAACTCCGAATTATCGGAGAACATCTTAGAACTTCTGTTTCAGTAGTATGATGTCGAAGGCGAGCATTCAATGAGCGTGCTCAATGTAGAGAGGTTATCGTTTTAACTTTATTTTACCGTGACAGAGGTAAAGGGAGCTGACTTGTGCATCCGTTCCCTTCGATAGCTGGTCTAGAAGCTGTTTTGTACGTGACAACGTTTTTGTTAGGGAAAATCGCACCTTTGTTTCCCCCACCGAGTAGTAAGTTGATCTCCAAGTTTTGAAAAATGGTGAGTTGATTCTCAATCTTTTGTTATAATTATACAATCATTTCCTAATAATGGGTCAGTGCCTAGTGATGTGTTTTCACGAAGGTCACTCGATGATTTAATGAAGTTTTACACATTTTATATCATGAAGACTACTTGGGCAACAATAATGGAAGATTGAGGATCAAAATGCTCGGCTTTAAAGGCGCGACCAAGTGGCAAGAAGCCCTATAGGTCGGGAAACAATTTCTGCAATTTTCACGTTTTGTTTTTGGGTCTTTGCCATTTACAAGCATTTTTTGTTCTTTTAAAATAACAGGTGGCTATGTTGAATAAGCATTATCAACACATTTTAGAACGACCTTTTTTCTAGTTAGGCGGACCACATCCTGTACCAGAAAAGTCTTGATTTGTATTGGTTTGTTGTTTTTATGCACATATGTTGTTGTCTGATTACCTGATTAGAAGGATTCTTACGAACATCTTATTCACTGCCCAATGTGCCCAGCCCATCCATCCTTTCAAACATCTTAATTGTTCACGAATATATGTTTTAGATTTAAATCACCGCAAGTGCACGGTTCGTTGACAAGTAATAAAGTGAAAATCCTACATCTATATATAAATGTTGGTTTATCAAGAATACACAAGAAAAGCACTTTGAATTGTTGATTAATCGCCAGAGAT